GTGTGTGTGTGTGTGTGTGTGTGTGTGTGTGTGTGTGTGTGTGTGTGTGTGTGTGTGTGTGTGTGTGTGTAAAAACATGTCATGGATTGGACTATAGTAGTTAAAAGGACTCAAATATAAGCTGCTGCTTGTAACTATATCAAGTCCAGATCCAAAATAACAAAAGCCTATTGGTTTAACAAAAAAAACCCCAAAAGAGTGTAAAATACAAAATACAAAACGCACAAAAATAAAAGCAACAGTTGCCAGCATATCCCGGGGCAGATCCAGGACACGCTGGAGAGATTATATCTCTCGGCTGGCCTGGGAATGCCATGGTGTTCCCCCAGACAAGCTGGAGGAGGTGGGCTTTTCTGCTTGGGCTGCTGCCCCCGCGACCCGGCCCCGGATAAGCGGAAGAAGATGGATGGATGGTTAAAACACATTATGATGCAACAAAGAACACAGGCAAACTGGGGCTAAAAATAAACATGAAGTAATGAGGAGAGCAGAAACGTAAGAGAAGCTAAACACAGCTGAGCACAGTCAAGGTAAATGAGGAGGTTAAACTACAAACAATACACAAAGAGTGTGATTAGTGAAGTAAAATAGAAAATTATAAAGTAAATCTGAGTGAACTTAACTCAGGACAATAAGATGGAGGGAGACACTGAGGAATCAAATAAACTCTAATACAAATAGAAACTCAAACTGTGAACTAAAGACTGAAAATGCTAAGTAAAAGACGTGAAACCTGAAAATGTAGATGTTATAAAAGAGACCCAAAGAGACCTAGCCTTATAATAAACAAGAATTAATTTGAATAACACTCAAAAACACACAAATACCCTGAGAACAGACCTGGGATCATGACAGAAGCGTGTGTTTCATTTGCTTTTGTGTTCTCTCCATCTCTTTCCAGGCTCCACTGAGTCCCGAGGATAGTATTTCTTTCATGTTGTCTGTGATTGGAGGGCTAACTGAAAAGGACCATGGCTCATTTCTGAACTTTACAGGAGAGCAGATACCTTGGTGAACTTGATGTCCATCAGTTATGAGAAGGACTGAGAATTCTTAACTCATCCTAATGGTTATTACTTTTACTCTAACTATGCAAGAATGAATGTATCTACGGCTTTGATTGTGCTGCATTCCACTTTATAGGAGCGTATCTACTAGAGCTTTTTCCAAACCATTTTGCTCTGTCCCCTTCAAAAAGCGCACTGAGCCCTGCGGTCAGGGAAGCGCATGTTGTGTTAGTAAGAGAAAATCACAGACTAGATTTTACAAATGTTAGCACAAACTCCATAAACTTTTCATCGCTCAGGGTGGGCCTGCTGTGTAT